TGACAGCGTCGTTTCTAAGTCACCAATTTAGTGCTACTTGGTCCCAATGGAATTTCCCATTGGGAACCTGCTAGCACTAAGTTGCTAACTGGTTAAGAAGATGCTTCCGACAAACCGTCTACAACCTGACCTGCTTGCAAACCTTCTGCCACAAAAATCCCGCCCCCTTGATAATGGATCAACCACATTCACTTTATTCACTCGTGTAAAGTCGGGCATCACTCGGGAGAATTTTGAAATGCAACCATTGGGACAGCCATTTTCCTACAACTTTAAGTTGGATTGAAATCTGGATTGAGCCAAACTTAACTTAAAGTTGACTCACTCCAGATTTTCCTCAGAGAATCTCTGGTAGAGCTGCAGCAGAACGATCCAGCTCTCCACCTGAATTCAGCCTCACTATTAGTGATGAGGAGGGTCTGATGGTTCTTTGGCCTCACAACAAGCCGGTTATAGCCTCACTCTGCTGAAGGAAGTCGTGCTTCATCACACTTTATGTTGTCAAATTGGGTTGATGTGCTAAAAGTTTATCAGCCAACCTGGAAGAAAGCAGAAGGTTTTATCCTGTTAGGATTACTCCCACTCTGCAGGAAGCTCGTTCAGTTTTAGTTGAATTATAACAATAACTGATTATCTATCTGCCATCATGTTCCGCAGGCAGGTGTTTCCATTATTTTCAGGACCTCGTTAATATCACTGAGTGCAACCTAGTAAACACAACAAAAGGTTTTCCCGGCACCGCGGTCTGCATTCTCCAGAATCATCCTGCAGCTGGATTTACGCCGCTCCACAAGATTTCCAATAAAAGCCTTCATAAAGGAGGATTTACTGCTCGGCCCTACATTCGTTTAATAACGCTGTTTCCAATAAAGCTCCCGATGAGTGCATCTGCAAGTCAAATGTTTGGCCATCAGTGCTGCTCTTGATCAGGGCCAGCTGACACAGAAGCAGCAGGCTGCAAACAGCAGCTTTCATTTCTTCTTCTCACTTCAACATTTTCAGACGCAACAAATGAAATAAACAATAATCCCATCAGGCATAAACATACCTCCTCAGTAATATTTTAAAGCATGAAAATGTATCTAAAATATTGCTGTTTCCTTTTGCCTTTTAATATATTTTTCTTTTATCTTAAAATATTTGTACTAAAGAATAGTTTTTATTTTGAGTTTTTTCTGTTTTATATTAGACATTTAATTTTTTTAATTGCTTGCATTTTTTCCTTTATTTCTTTCGAAAAATGTGCTGCATATATTTATTTTATTGTTTCCGTTGAAAATAAATATATAAATAGTCATAATGTTAATCATGATAAATTGAACTGGTTCCAAACATCACATGAAAATCTCCAAAAGCTAAGAGAAAGAAACAAAAGTGAAAATAGTGCCTGAAAATAACTGATTACAGGCGATTCTTTCAGACAGAAATTAGAATGGTAAAGTTTTTAAATTGCCGCTGAAAAAGGACACCTGGTTTGATAAAAGTGGAATCTCTTCAGAACTACACTGAGATATCCAGTTTACTCAGAACATTAGGACTGCAGAGCATATGCATGTATGTATGTATGTATATATGTATATAACAGAAGAAGATTAGGGCGAGGATGAATAAAGAAATCAATTAGCAAGAAGCTTCGTTAAGACATCAGCAATCCTCTTCTCCAGGGGTCTTCAACGTTTTCCAGGCCAAGGGCCCCGAAACTGATGGAGAGATGGGGCGGGGACCCCCTAATTATATATATAATGTATGAAATTGTATCATATCAAACTGGTCCTATAGTCACTCTATTACATATAGAGTAATGTGAGCAAGGTAATTTCTTCCTGGGATTATTAAAGTATTTCTGATTCTGATTCCTGGTTGATGGGACAGGTGTTGTGAATGAAATGGTGCCCAGCATGAAAGAGCTCCTGTGTGTCTCTGAATGTTTGCATTGATGACTGGACATCTTCTGCCTCCATTTATCTTTTTACTACAGTGTGTTGAATTCATGTTAATGTGGATTTAAAGACATTTCAATAAGTGGAAAAAATTGCAGGGGGGAATATTAAAAAAAAACAATTTCATGACCCCCATGCAGTACCTCTGCGGACCCCCTGTTGAAGACCTCCACTCTACTCTATGACCACAGCTCCACCATATTTACATCATCCGGAGCCGTTCAGATTTAATATGCATCTATTGAGCACATAAAATAGAGCATTAAGCATGAAAATAAAATATATCACACTTACCAGAGATGNGCGGGGACCCCCTAATTATATATATAATGTATGAAATTGTATCATATCAAACTGGTCCTATAGTCACTCTATTACATATAGAGTAATGTGAGCAAAGTAATTTCTTCCTGGGATTATTAAAGTATTTCTGATTCAGATTCCTGGTTGATGGGACAGGTGTTGTGAATGAAACGGTGCCCCGCTTGAAAGAGCTCCTGTGTGTCGCTGAATGTTTGCATTGATGACTGAAAGACATCTTCTGCCTCCATTTATCTGTTTACTACAGTGTGTTGAATTCATGTTATTTTTTATTTAAAGACATTTCAATAAGTGGAAAAAATTGCAGGGGGGAATATAAAAAAAATATATATCATGACCCCCATGCAGTACCTCTGTGGACCCCCTAGGGGTCGCGGACCCCCTGTTGAAGACCTCCGCTCTACTCTATGACCACAGCTCCACCATATTTACATCATCAGGAGCCGTTCAGATTCAATATGCATCTATTAAGCACATAAAATAGAGCATTAAGCATGAAAATAAAATATATCACACTCACCAGAGATGCTATTTTTTTTTATAAACTTCTGTCTTTGTGCAGGAAGTCTCAGTTTTATTTAAATTTTTTAACAAAAGTGAGTCTAGACCAATCAGAGGATAGAAAATGCCGACGTAGAGGCGGGCCCACTAGCTGGCGCTGTGGGACAAATCTGAAATCTGATTGGTTGAACAAAACGTTCCTCACTAATATTGTTAGGGTGACATCAGCAGCACTACTGATTGACATAGCAACACACAGAAGCTGAAATCTGATTGGACATAAAAAAAAATAGCAACCAGATAAATGTAATGGAAGCAGCGCAGCCAAGAGAAATAATACAGATTTAAGAAAAGGGATTGTTTGGAATAAATTAATACAGTTAGAGAGAAGAAAAAGTTATGTTGTGAATGTAGGCTGGTGTTTGTGATTGAAGCATTGAAGGCTCTGACCGCCAGCACTGGGTCCTTCCATCCATGTGGATGTTACTGACCGAGTCTGGCTGTAGGAACCAGCACTCCCTTATGGCTCTGGTCTCTCAGTGGGATCTTGTTCCCAGTTGCAAAACTGCCTCCAGAATCTTTGGAAGTTTTCAGAGCAGAAGGTTCAGGCCCAGATGGTTCTTCTAACAGGCCTGGATCTCATAAACATGGGTCTATATCCTGAATTAGGCTGTCTCTCTGTGACACAGGCTGTTTGACATCCAAGCTCCAATTCTTTCCTTATTTATTAACCACTTTGTGTTAAAGAGAATCATTGATTTAATGAATGTTTAACCTTCAATCCAGCTGATACCTGCTACATGTGGTGCTCTATCATTAATCAAAACATCTGAACAACATCTCTGATTAGAGGAGCTCAACCAGCTCTCGATAAACTTCAGGTCCCTCAGATCGGAAAGCAGCAGAGCAGCTGGGATCCAAAAGGGCTTCTTATCCACAGGACTTTGAGTCGGTAACCATGGTGACAATAGGGAGGTTCTGGAGAATTAATGGGATGATGGCCAAGAGGGGTTTTAGATTTCTGAATCCTCTCTAGGATTGTTCTGATTCAGACTCTGGGAGCTTTTCTGCTTTCAGCTCCTCTCTAACTCCAGCAGACCTTCCATGTCAGACGGAGATCCGATTCACAGCATGTTGGGAACTGACTTCCTGTTCCTGTTCCAGGTGCCAGGAAGAGTGTCCGGTCGGCACATACGGCCCGCAGTGTGCTCACAAGTGTGACTGTCTGAACAGAGCCAAATGCTACCACATCAATGGGGCCTGCCTCTGCAACGAGGGCTTCAAGGGCCCCAGCTGCCAGGACCGCTTCTGTCCCGCAGGCCTTTATGGACTCCTCTGTGACAAATACTGCCCCTGCAAGCTGGACAACACCCTCAGGTAGGTCAAAGTCAAGCTTCTCCCTGGCTGAAATGGCTCATTCATGTTCGTCTAACAAAAGATCCCAAGCTTCCAGATATTCTGCAGATCTATAACGTCTGGATGGAAAACAGGAAAATGCTGAATGGAGGCTTTTACTGAACGCAAGGTATAAAAAAACAACCTTTCTCCCTCGTTTCTCTCCCAGCTGTCACCCTCTGTCGGGGGAGTGCACCTGTGCAGCCGGATGGGCGGGGCTTTACTGCAACGAGACCTGCCCCGCTGGTTACTACGGCGAGGGCTGCAAGGAGCCGTGCAGCTGCACCAACGGAGCTGACTGTGATGGCGTCACTGGAGCCTGCATCTGTGCCCCTGGATACATAGTAATTATGATTTTTTTTCACTCTGATGTAGAGCAGAGCTCCGCTAAGCAGGCAAAGGTTGTGGAAAGTTTCTACCACATCCTATAAATGAAATATTAGAAACAGAGGGCAATAAAAACAATTCAATCATCATCTTTTGGTAAAAGATGGCATCGTCACCCAGCAACAGTCTCCAGGTCATTCTGGATGACCCTGAGGTTTTCCCACAACATCTGGGTTTAAAGAACCTTACAAAAATATTCACACCCACTTAACTTCTGTGCATCTGATGTCACAAACTAAAACAAAGTGGTGATTTGGTCTCAAAGGAAATTAATGTGTCTTTTTTTATCTTGTAGAACCAGGTTTAGGTTTAAATCTTCTGAGAAAAAAAAGTTCTTATCATTGTGAAACATCTCCAGCTCTGTCAGACCGGATGGAGAACATTTTCTGGTATCTGTTCCAGGTCTAGTATCAGACTCAGGTTCATTCACGCCGTTTGTCACATAAGGAATCCAACTTTGCTATCAATATAGAGACTTTAAATATGATTTTATAAAGAAAATATGTTTTTGGATCTATATGAATTTAAGTAGAAGATGAAGATAATAATAAGCATGGTCCTTTGACTGCTCAGTATCCATCAGAGAGATAGCAACAGTCTCTGTAGCCCCGCCCACTCTGTCTCCATCATGTGTGGGCTCTGCAGAGACATCCTGGTCCTGGATGAAGTTTGTAGTTTGGACTTCTTGGGTTTAGACGAAACACAAACAGAGTAATGATGGGTTTGGAGAAGATAAGCAGAACTTCCTGTTCATGGTGATGGTTTCTATCTGAGGTCCGAAGGTTCGGTACAGGTCAGCATCATACTGGACCGTCCCGACCCAGACGGAACCTTTCAGCTCCTTCCTGTGGAGAACCATGACCTCTGACCTCCACTCAATCTATTTTTTTTTTTTTTTATGGAGTTTTTACTGCACTAGTGGCACGTTTCTGACAGGAAAGGTGGTATGAGAGAGGGGGAGAGACATGCGGCAAAGGACCACAGGCCGGATTCGAACCCGGATAGGCCGCTTCGAGGACTGAGGCCTCCATATATGGGTCGTGCGCACTAACCAGTGCGACTCCTGCACACCCGACCTCTTCTTAGGTATAATGCAACAGTTCAAATGTACGTTTCTTCATTTATTCGATATCATAAATTACCCATAATGCATCAGATGACCTGTTAGCTTTACAATTGTTTCGGAGAAATTAGATCCTTTGATCCTAATGTACTGCTGTTGACTCCAGGCGGCCTAATGAAAGTCTCTCAGACGTTCTCACTCTCACTGCGTTACATCAGCTGTCGGTCCGTTCCGAGCAAACCCAGACTCCAGCTGGGATTTCCTCAGAAACATGGAGGCAACACAGTAACCCCCAGAGTAGAAGCTCAGGATGCTGGACGTGAGCAGAACGTGCAGCTGGACACGCTGAAGGCGATGAGCTGTACGTGGTGATGCAGCGGGCTTAGTGTGGGAGGGGCTCTGCAGGTGCAGACCTGTGATGTGGGTCACCCAGAGACGGCAGAGTAATGAGGGGACATCTGCAACCTTTCCACAAACCACTGGTTCATTAAAAGGACAGCTGGATTTTTTTCCTTCTCTCCACCTCTGGGTCTCCAGTGATGCCTCAGTGATGTCTGTATACGGTCAGCCTGCAGAAGAGGGGAAGCAGTTCTGTGTGGTATGAGCATCTTGGGTGTGAATGCCACACAGATGTCAGAAGAACAATTCGGATTCTTCATCAATGCTTCAGCAGAATGGGTTTTTCTACGGTTTTTCACTGGGAAAAGGTTCTGTATGCTGAGAAACTGACCCTTTTAAAACGTCAGCAATCAGAATGGAACCAGATGTGAAGCTACCAAACACGAGTTAAATCAAAACCATGCAGTCAATCCCGTCAGCATAATGCTGCCACCACCATGCTTCACTCCAGAGGTGATTTGCAGTGTTAGTTTTTCTCCATCAAGAAAATTTTGTATGCGAGCAATTTTTCTTCATGATGCTGCTTGTTCTCTAATGTTCTTCAACAAGCATCTGCTTAGCAAGTAGGAGACTTTTACAGACAACTGGCTGCACTGGGGTTTATTTAGGGGCATCAGAGTGAAGGGCCTGAGTAAAAAAAGCACTTTGCACGTCTATATGAGTGCGATTTTATTTGTAAATGAAATTTGAAAATGTTTGAGTAGTTTTCTGTTGTTTTACTCCAGTTTGGAGCCGTTGGGTGTTAAACATCTTTTCCTCGCCTGCTTTCTGTTTTCACCAAATTAAAACCTCATGTAAAATTTGTCATGTTAGAAATTTTAATCGTATATGAAGCCGGACATTCAGTTTTAAAACTGTGAAGTGATTTTAAGGGATAGTTTTGTGTGTGTGAAGCTTCGGGGGCCCCGGGGTCCCAGCCTCCTGTGGTGCCGGCTGATCTGGCTAGAGAGAGATGACAGAAGCTTTTCTAATTGGAGCGAGAACATCAGAGATTTCAGTAGATGAAAGCAGGAAGGGCTCTGCAGAGGCATGCGTGTTTGGTTTCACGCAACGAATTGGGAGAGTTATTGATTCAGAGAGAATTGATGCAGTGCTGGGAGCCCCCACTTTGGTAGCCATGGATGAGGGACCGGCTTTAAAGATAATTTATTTGGAGCATTGTCACCAGTTCAGTCGGTCAGATCAATATCTGTAAACATGCCCATCTCTGAGCAGAGGTCTTAAATCTGTTCCTGTAGCAGAGGATGTCTTGTTAGTCGCTAAGTTGGCCTCTGAAGGGGAAAAAAAGCTTCGGTTAAACTGAACATTTCTGTCTTTAAAAGATCACACAGTCTTTGATCCTTTCAGCTGATAAGCCTTAAGGAAGGTCAGCTGAAGTCCATCCTCTGTTTGTCACCCAACAGGTGGAATTTAATTCACTCCATGATTCATTTAAAGGGAGAAAAATGTTTCTATAATTTATTTCAAATGAAACCAGAGTTTGATTACATCGATTTAGCCACAGAAAAGTTTGTCAGTACTCAGAACTAAAGACCTAGAATTCAAAGAAGACAGATAGGTGTGGTTCACAAAAGCATTTATTTATGTCGGGTCAGCAACTCAGCAGTTAGGGTCACAGGAGCAGAGTCTCTGTAGAGGGGAAAACTCAGGTTAGTGAACACGCAAATCTGATAGTGGGTGATAATTAGGGTGTAAGTCACTAACCTGGTTTAAGAGTTCAGTTTGTGCCCAGAAGAAGGAGTAGAATCCAGCTGGTTGGCTAACAACGGCAATTAAGAAATGCTGCCCAGAGAGTTCCAGGAACCGAAGCCTAGAAGGCTGTTGAACTGGCTGATGAACAGAAGCCAGCAGACAAAGGAAGGCAGGATTTTCCAGACTATGGAGCCAAAGCCGTTGTGGATGAGGTGAACAGAAATCCAGGCCAGAAGATCAGAGATCAGAATTTAAAGTAACCATGAAGAATGTAGTGATGGAGATATGTGCTTGTTTTTCTTAAGATGCTCAATGTGTTTTAAGATACTGCTCTGATTTTATTATGAAAAATGTAATATGTTGTAAATATGTATGAACTTCCTGTGGTTTGGCTGCTACCTTTGCCAGGTCTCTCTTGAAAAAGAAATTCTGAATCTCATTGGGACTTCCTGGTTAAATAAAGGTTAAATTAAAAAAAATAAAAAATTTAAAGAAGGGGTACCCAAGGGAAATCCAGCAAGAGTCCGAAGACAGGTCAGGCAAACAGATCAGAACAGCTACAGGCAGGCTCAAATGTCCAAAGGCAGAACGGGTCAGAACAACAACAGGTCAGCTGGAGAACTCTCGTGAAGGCTGGAATTATCTGGCACTAATGACTGGGAACAGGCAGATTAAATAGAGACAGGAGCAGGTGGAAGAGGTGTTGAGTAATGAGAAACTGGGCAGAGCTAGGCAGGTGGATGGAATGACCCAATAAGCCAGTCATCAACGCCAAGATCATGACAAAGTTTGATCAATTTGATTAAAACTCTAAAGCTGTTGAGGTTTAGTTTCTGGTGTTTACTTAGCTTTTTATTTAAACGTAGATGCTGGGTTTCCTTATTTACATTTTTAACTCCTGGTCGTACTCATTTAAAATATCTATAACTTTGTGCGTAAACAGATGTATGATGCAGCATGCTACGTATATTTTGCTCTGTTAAACAATGCTAGGCTAACGTTAGCATGTTTCTGCTTAGCTTTGATAAAGTTTAGTTTTCTATTGGGATGGGATGGACATCAACATAAAAAAGAAGATTTTATTTACCTTATGGGAACTGACTTGCTGATAATACAACTCTAATAAGATAAGTCCCCCGGAACTAACTTAACGAGACGTTAAGTATCTTTTAGAGGAAGAATTTATGTAAATTAAAGAGAAAAAGAGCTTTAAAGATTACAGCTGTGTCTGCAATTTAAGCAGGAAAAACTCAAATCTGCTTGTTTCTATAATATTTCCAGTTCTGGGATCATAAAAGTCATGTTTATGATGTTATAGAAGTTTTCATTAACTTTCATTAACAAGTTATATATAAAGTCAGAATAGAAAATCCCTTTATTGTCCCACAATGGAGAAATATTTAAAGTCATTCCACTTATTTGAAAACAGAAAAGAAATCCTCATAATTATAGAAAATCCCGGCGAAGAGTTATTGTTGGAGGAAAAATCCCAGGTTGCAGGCACATATGCAGAGAACCAACAGACAGCAAAGCTTGACAACAATCATCTAAACATGCATCAATTTAGGGATGTTTATGTTTAAAATAGTTACATTAATAAATGTGCAATTTAATAGTTAGAAATACATTTAAAATGATTAAGTAATTTATAGAATTTCATTTATTCCTATGTATTTTAGGTGGGATTGTTATTTTTTTTGGGATATGGTCATTGTTGATGCTTTTAATCTGCTAAGCGATGAAAAGTCTTCATGTCTGCTTGTTTTTCTGAGCCTCTTTTAAGACACTTTCTCAGATTTAAAGAGAACAACAGCAAACATTAAGAGGCAGAGCGTGAGATTTCGACAGGACGTCCTCGTTAACCCCTCTGACCTCTGAGAAAAACCCTGCAGGTGGAAATTCATCAGCATGTCCGCGGGGGACGGACGAGCTGGAGGTGTTTGCAGTAATTAAAAGACGCCTGAATTTCATTTTTAATCTTATCAAATAAACAGTTATTTATTTCTTAAATACCCCTTGAGTTTTTACATTTACTGGTGAAACACAAATGAATAGAATGAAAGATCCTGATTACTTGATAAATATGAGAATCTATTGATCTGTCAGTAATTCTAACTGCAGAGGTCGCCTGTCGTTCCGTCATGACTTCCATTATTGAGCCCACGCAGGTTATTTATTACCAAAGTTTTTACAAAGTCCTCACTCCACCAACTTTTTAATAAGTCCTCTGCGCTCTCCTGTCCGTGCACGTTGGGCTGCCTTTGTGAATATTAGATTAATAGTAATTTAAAGGCAGCAGGTTGGAAGCAGGCAGCTTTAATTAACGGAGTTTATATGTTGAAGGTCCTGATCAATGCAGGAGGCGCAGTCAGTCTGCCGCACCATGGCAGCAGGCCTGAATGAGGTCAGACCCCCTGATGGAGCTGCGGCCGCATCCCGCGTTGATCGGACAAGCAGAGCCATCATGTCGCTCTGCAGGGAGGCCATCAGCGCCGATCATCTCCTCCTTCCTACTTCATCCGATGCTTTATTGCATCAGCGCTAACAAATTAAATGCACTCATGGGCTTGTAATGAGTTTTAAGAGAGAGAGTCTGAGTAAGAACCGAATGCCTGCGGAGAGCTGCAGGAGCAGGAAATGATGGTGAAAACTCTACATCAGTCAGTTTCTTCACCCCAAAGAGTGGATAGAAGAGCCAACTCAAGAGAAAATGTGTTTTTCTCACAGGGATCTGCAGACGAAGTCAGCAGCAGGACTCAGGAGTCACAGAGCTGTGATCTCAGCCCGGATGCAGGACGAATGAAGCGACTCAGAGTTTCTGTTTGTGTCTCTGTTGTCCACAGGGAGACGACTGCTCCTTCAGCTGTCCTCCGGGTCAGTACGGAACCAACTGCACCTCCTTCTGTTCCTGCCACAACGAGATCTCCTGCTCACACATCGACGGCTCCTGCATCTGCAAAGAAGGTTCGGCTCATCGCTTGCACCGCGTTTCAGGCTCTGATTTCTTTCCCACACAGTTCGGTTCTTTTGCTCAAGGTTCAAAACTCCAACCTGGTCCAACTTTTTTTTATTTAAACATCAGCCAATCAGGAGGAAGATTATAATCCAGAATTCATTGTTTCCTTTAGAATAACAACGCAACAACCGAAACGTTTCATCCCCGCAATGCACCAGTACCAACGTCTATGTTTCCCAGAACTTTTTTATTATGTTCTACATTGTGCTCCAACTTTATATATTTTAATATCTGACTCTTTAAATATTTATGCAGCACAGATTCAGCATGAGAAGGAAGGTAATTAAGGGGAGGATGATGAAACCGAGTGCAGGACCGGCAGCTTGTTTGGACAAGCGAAGAAGAAAGGTTCAGAGATGACACAAGGCTGGTCCCGGCACGCTTTGGGTCCAATTTAGAACGTAAGGGAGAAAACGCAGACATTAGGAGGGAACCATGGAACACTTCTGGTTATCTTTCCAAATAGACAAATGAGTCTTGATGTTGATGCTAAATGTGAACAGAGAAAAACCGATAGAACCTTTCAGTAACACGGTTCTTAAAGGTTCTCCACACAGCAGATCAAATGTTGACCAATTCAGAACAAGCAGTTCTTAGTTCTCCGTCCTGCTGTCCCCAAGGAGCCCCGGACTTTTAGAGACATTGGTCCACACAGCTGCTGCTCCATCAGAGCGTCCATCAGATCTTCTTACCTTGTTTTTGGTTGATTCGTTAAAATAAATATGATTTGCTGCTCTAAACCATCTGATTTCCTTTCCTTTGGTCATTGCTCATAAATCTACCGGGTGGTTTCTTGGTGGTTACCTGTGTGTTCCAAAGACTTAGGTAAAAATAAAAAAAATCAGAAGCAAAAGTTAATTTGTTGATGTTAAAGCTGGAGGGCCGTGATTTAAAGACAGTCGTGAGCAGCTGTCTGGCCGGCTTTAAAACAAACACCTCCCTCCTGTTTAGCTGTTCTTGCAGATTTTCCGCTATGCTTGTAAATTGCGGCAAAGATTTCTCTCGTTATTTTGGGCTTGATGGGTCAGTTTGTTCTATGATTTTAGTCAACATAAAAAAATCTGTCCAGCAGCCGAATGACAGGATCCCAGGACACTGAACCTCCGTCATAGCCGAGTCCTCAGCAACACTTTGTCCCTGACTCCATGTCCAAGTCGGGATCAGACTGAGGTTGACGGTTTGTCTCCCTGTCTTCCTCAGGCTGGCAGGGAGTGGACTGCACCGTCCAGTGCTCTAGTGGGACGTGGGGCTTTAACTGCAATCAGACGTGCCAGTGCGCCAACGAGGCAGCCTGTGACCCGCTCAACGGGACCTGCACCTGCTCACCGGGCTGGAGGGGGGAGTACTGCGACGTCCCGTGTCCCGTAAGTCCTAAACTTTCATGTTTTTCAGCTTTTTACAGGAAAAACAAAAGGATTTTTCTGAAAATGTGTTGCCCCAATCAGAGCGGCTACCAGCGGTTACCATAACAACCTCTTTGCTCTTCATCTATTCTAGTCTTCATTGTTTTAGTGAAAGCTGTCTTTGTTTTAAGACTTTTTGGTTCTGTTGGCTGAAGATCCTCAGATGTTCTGACATCTCCAAAGGTTTGACGATAGCAGGAGGGAAGTCTTGACGAAACTCAGAGTCAGAAACATCTGGATCTGACGGCTAAAACATGTCCAATGACCCATTTGGGCTGAGCTTAACTTTCTGAGTGTTCTGTCCTTGTTCTACCACCCTTGGTAAAGACACATGGTCCTGGTTCTGCTTGCAGGATGGATGGTACGGGCTGGACTGCAGGGAGAAGTGTGACTGCGTCCACGCTGGCAGCTGCGATCCGTCATCTGGAACCTGTCATTGTCTTGCAGGTTGGACCGGTGAGTTCTTTTAGCAAAAACAAAAAAGTCCAATTAAGTCCACTTAAAACAGGGAATAAGACTAAAAATATTCAACTTTGACGGCAGTTGGACCCAAAAGAGACAAAAACATAAAAATAAAAATTATTTTACCTTCTAGCTTGTTGAAAAATAGCTTTTTTAAACCTTTTCTCTAACTGCTGGATGCTTTCCGCTGTTTTTTTTTATATTCTGCTGATTTATCGATCTATGTATCTGAGGTTGGAAAGCCTCGGTGCCATTACCCTAATCTACAGTTTCTCTATCCGATCTAAGCCTCTGGAAATCTGGCCCAGTTGCCCAGAAACATTAACGGTACTTCCACGGTATGGTCCATCTGCTCCAGAAGGGAAAGCAGAGCCGAACACTCGGGTCTTAGGCCACTGTTACGTCCTCATCAAATCCACACAGCCGTGGTAGAACTCAGAGTTAATGATAGGACCCCTTTTGGTGCTTTATGGCTTTAAATAAAGGCTCTGTTGCCATGGAAATATCTGCAGTTCTCCACGCCTCAATATATAAATGCCCCACACTGCTCAGGGTTTTTAACAGATAAACCGGACTACTCTGGACACCCATATGAAGAGAAAGAGGAACATCTCCAAATTGCTCCTATGCTACAACTGTTTGGGTTCTTTGGAGACTGAGTTGATTTTTCGCTGCAGTTTGAATCCTGTATGCACATTTTGGGCTGACTAAGAAAACCCCTCCCATCACCCCTGATTGGAGGATAGTAGGAAGATGTGCAGCTGTCACGATATTTCCTGATGTCGCTAGAGCTGAGACCTTGAACCTCTGCTTCTTCCATTCCGTCTCGGTGGCAGTGGAGCCGGTGCCTCCGTTCTCACAAATCTACACTTTCTGTGTTCTTGTCAAGAACACACTTGGAGAGAACACAAGTCCATACTTGCATTCTTCTGAATTTAGAAAAGGCCCCTGCCTTCTTTTCTGGGTAGGTATAAAACTTTCCTTTTTGATAAAGCTTATAGTCTGTAGGCAGTCTGTGGGAGAACGGCTGGACAGGTCAAAGAGACACACAACCATCCACACACACTCACCCTTAAAGACAATGTAGAGACACCAGTCAACTAACAGTCATGTTTTTGGACAATGGGAGGAAGCCGGAGTACCCGGAGAGAACCCACGCACGCACGGGGAAAACATGGAAACCCCATCCAGAAAAGAACCTGGGACGGGAATCGAACCTGGAGCCTTCTTGTTGCTAAGCAACAGTGCTACAAACTGCGCCCCCCATGCAGCCCACACCTGCTTTCATGCTTGAAAGTAGGATGGAAAAAGCTCAACAGGCTGAACATTGATCAAATAAACAGACGTTTGGGACTTTATCTCCATGGATGTTGTTAGAAGCAGATTCTAAACGTCCAGAGTGGATGAAGAGATCTGAAGGAAATACTTCTTCACCTGTATCCACTGGTTCTAGGTTCTCACTGATATCAAGGCTGAAACTTGTGGTTCATGTTTACAGACCTCTCACATGGGCACATTGTGAGGTGGCAAAAGCAAAATCAGAATCAAGTTTATGGCCAAGTAGGTTTGTACTTACAAGGAATTTGACTTGGTGTTGTTGGTGCAGACAAAAAACAAAATAAGATAGAATATATATATACACAGTAGCTATATACACACAGTAGACTGTGCGTTAATGTAATGCAGAAACCCTGAATGGGATAGAGAAACATTGTCCAGTGTCACGGGCGGTAGCAGATGGGAAAAAACTGTTTTTGTGACGGGAGGTTCTGGTCCTGATGGACCGCAGCCTCCTGCCAGAGGGAAGTGACTGAAATAATCTGTGACTGGGGTGCGAGGGATCAGCCTCAGAGTCCTGGAGGCGTACAGCTCCTGGAGAGATGGGAGGTTGCAGCCAATCACCTTCTCTGATGACACGCTGCAGTCTGCTCTTGTCCTTAGCGGTGGCACCAGCGTACCAGATGGTGATGGAGAAAGTGAGGATGGACTCAATGATGGAGGAGTAGAACTGCACCACCAAAATATGGGGAGGTCTGTATGGAAAAAAAGAAAAAAGCTGAGAACATAGTAGTTTCATCATTTCCATCCCTCTGAGGAAGGTTCTGCAGAGTTGATCATGAAGCAGCAGTCTTTATCTCTGTCAGAATGCTCAGAACGTTGGACCCAGAATACAAGCAGAAAAATCAGTTTTTGAAACAAGCGTTTATTTAAAGCAAAATGCGGCTGCTCATCAGCCGGAGCGGGCTCGCTGGATTCTCTGCAGAAACGGAGACTCAGGTCAGTGACTTCAGAACTCAGATAGGGAATGATAATGAGTATGAAAGTAACCAACCAGGCTAAGTTCAGTCTGAAGAAGAAATAAAGTCCACAAGAGTGGAAATCTGTAGCCTGTTACTTAGCCTGCATCAGAGATCCAGGAGAGAAGGGAAGCAGCGTCTTGCAGCAGCCAGAGCACGCAGGGGAACGGAAGGTCCTTAGACTTAGAACCTTGTCTAAGTTTAAAGATCCAGGAGGTTTAATCCAAGCCCTGGTCAGAATACCGTTCCAAGGTCCAGGTAACAGGACAGGAATCCAAGTCACGGCTCGGAAACACATGACAGGCAAACAGAGCAGACAAAACTCTGAAGTCTGGGGGCAGAAACAGGTCAGAAACAGGCAGAACTAAACACAGGGAACTCCAGTTAGTCTCGCTAGAAGCTCGAATAATCTGGCACCAATGTCTGGGAACTGAAGGCATTAATAGCAGCAGGAACAGGTGGATCTGATTGAGATGATGAGTGCAGGGCAGAGCAAAGAAATGAGAGCAAAAAGAGTCAAACTCAGTCATAAGTGCCAAGATCATGACAATCTCAGAGTGGCATGTCATACCTTTCACAACAACTCTACTCCTTTTAGCTGTTTTAGCAGGAGGAAGAGTTTTTTCTAAGCTAAATTAGGTCGATATTATAAAATGGTCTGTTTTTATCTACTAGAAAACAATCCTGTACTTTAAATCTTATGACTCCAGGTCTCATAGGCTGTCAGTAGATTCTCACACCTGCAGGAACCTCTTCTGTTGCACCGTGTCTTTAGGTTCTTCCAACTCTTGTAGATTCCAGTGCAGACTGTGTGTGGCTCCATGATCCGTGAGCTCCAATTTTAAAGTGATCCCAGCAATGAAAAATAAACAGTAATAACCAACCAGAATCCATGAAAGGAGGTTAACATGCTAAACATCTTTGTTTGTTTGTGGGACAAAGTGGAGGAAACGGATGATTTCATCGGATAATTGTCTCACAATTTATTTTCGCGGTTAATGTTTTTCTTGTTGATGCAGAGGAAAAAAAATCCCAGGAGGGAGAAAAGCGTTAGAGGAGCACAGAGGGAGGAGGAAGGCAGAGCAGACAACAGATCGATACGACACACTGAACATTTAAAACCTATAATTCAAAAGCTGAAGATTGGAGCTCGGGTGACTCTGACAGGCAGGTTCTGTTCAATAAACTGCCTCACAACCGTCTCTGTTAGAGAAGCAGCTCCCAGAGGTTCACAACAACCTGACCCTCCATGTTTTACCAGCTGATGGGTCAGCAGAGGATGCGATGATGGTGAAGGACCTGAGCTCCCCAGCCGTTAAGCTGACAGACAGATTTACAATCAGCTTACAAAGAGACAGATCATGCAAACACAGCCGTCATCTGTATAAACACAGTCTTTAAAAAAAAGTATTAACACCCCTTTAGCTTTTTCACATTTTTGGGATACTATGATAAATTGTATATTATAATATTTTACGTCAGGGAACAGGTGTAGCTGCTCTGTTTAAATGAGACCAAAGCTGAACTTTCTGGTTCAGATGTAAAAACGTCACCCCCAACACGGTGCAGTGAAGCATGATGCATGCGGCGTGATGCTGTCAACACTGTTTATCTTTTTACTTTGGTTCCACATCTCTCTGCAAGTAAAGATATTTGAATATTCATTCTCAAATTAAATAAATTCAGTTTATTTACAGTCAGATTGGTAGAACGTTTCTATCTAGGAAAAACACTGCTGAGTTGTCGACTTTGAGGGACACACTTCTCCAGGAGGTAACAATAATATTTACTTGTAGCACAGCGTGAGATGTTAGAAAAGGTAAACGAGCTCCACAGGTGGCTCTTTGTAGGAAGGAAACAGTTAGCTCTGAACCAGTTTACAGGCCAAAGGGATGCAAGAGAGCACATAGAAAAAAATTGAGCTCATAGATAGGAGACAACCAGGATTAAGCAATGAAAAACAAGCCCAACTCTATTATCTATAACCGAAGGTGTTGACGGCAGCAGCACAGCTGATGTTTCTCTCCAAGATGGTGTCAGAGTCAAACAGGAACAGACCAGATGAAGCAACTATGATGGAAAAAGGCAGACAGAACATAAAGGTAGGAGTTGAATTAACTATAAGTACTGCAGAATTGAAGAATATAGATAAAATGAAGCAGAATGATGAAAAATGGGTCCCTATGTCCTCCAGCAGTCTAAGCCTATAGCAGCATAACTATAGAGAGCTCAGGATAACCTGAGACCCTCTAACTATAAGCTTTATCAATAAGGAAAGTTTTATACCTACCCTTAAAGGTATACTATGCAACCGGTGTTGATTTTCCAGCGAGGCTCCCCCCAGAGGGCGAAAGTAAAAGTGCACTGTTGTAAGTATTGAGCCTTGCAGCCCTCTTTTTCTTTTAGCTCTCGCCATTCGGAAAAAGCTTGCCCGATGTTCACACGTGTACGACTCCTCTCTCTGTCCAAAGCCCTTTTCCCTCTTTCTTGCCTGCTCCGACATGGGCTTTCGCTGTTTTCTCGCTGGTTGCGCCATGATAACTGTAACTGGAGCGTGTAACAAAAGTAATTTCCCTCTGCGATTATTAAAGTATTTCTGATTCTGATCTGATAACTGCACAAATATCGCCACTGCGCTAGCAACGAGCATGCCTTTCACTGGGGGCGTGTAGCAGTTCTCGCCGTAAAGCAGACCGA